AGTCTAAGACTAGACAGCGTTCCACGCTATCAAAGTCAAGGAACTTGACTCCGAGGTCTACAGGGACCTTCGGACCTTGACACGTGTCCCCGTCGCTAGAGGGACAGTGACGATGTTCCCCAACCCAGCTTCTAGCGCCTCAACACACAGCTGACTTTCTTTCATCGTGGAGCGTCGGGCAATTATGCCCGACGCTTCGGAATCGATGAGGATCTTCCATGGCTTCTGGAAGCCCTATACGGTCACCTCCACAACCAGCAAGCCCGGCTTGCATACACGTTTCGTGTTCAAGAGCACGGAGCTCTTCGCGGCTGGGCCCTGTTGATCTCTACCTCCTTGAGGCTCAACAAAACTCAATTTTTTCCCAGTAGGTCACCCTGCGCCTACTGAGTGGTGTCGTTTCCCCGCGACGAACCACACTGGTAGGCGTTAGAGCGATGGTTTGAAAAACCTTGACGCGCCTTGCGCAGGGGACAACCGGACCTAAGGTGATTCCACAGACAAAAGACCATCGATTATGTGTATGCTGACCGGCAGCTCGGAGCTATGCTCCCTCGTCTTCAGCATAGCTGAGGAATATGCACACAGGCCCGTTCGACGAACTGTTGGAATGTGCATTCCAACCAAGTCCTGCTGACTTGAAATTGAATTGGGCAATAAATGCCACATTTACCGCATCTTCAAATTATGATGGATGCACACGGAAGACTTCTATTCTGGCCACGCCAGTGCGGAGGCCTCCCATAGTTACGGGCACTGTGACCGCCCCCGGAAGGGGATCTGCTGCCATCCCGGCAATGAGAGTGTGCCTCTCTTGGACAAAGTCGACCAATACAGTGGTGCCCTGTCGGGCGGCAAGGAATCGCGCTCGCACGCGATATGCCTGATTTGGCGGCAAGAACACTCGAGAGAGCTGCAATTTCAGCTCCGCCCAGGAGGGAAACTCAGCTCCGACCGAAGTGCCGCACGTCAGTGCCCATTCTCGCGTTCGACCACCAAGCTTTGG